TCAGGAGGTTTTAAAAAGTGATCACATGAGCCCATTGCCAGTTGAATTGCCAAGAGCCCAAATTTTGATTACACAGTCATGGGAATGCTGCAACAGTTCTGTGAAAACTGGTCATGTCACTTTTTTCAGCACCATTTTAACTTCAAACGGTCACTAAATGAATGGCTGTAAGTCAAGGACTACCTGTATGTTATTTCCATGGTTCTACAGTGCCATCAAGATAGATTCATTAACACCAAAATTAAAAAACAGGTTGAAGCGTAAACTCATTTTTAATTTTTTGAGAACCAAAAAAATAGTAAAGATAAAACTGTAGTGATACGGCATTCCTAACAATGTTCAATCACTGTTCCAGTTCCACTCTTTAACACTTTTTTTAATGTGGTTTTTTTTTTAAATCATCCACTGACATTTTTTTTCTGCAAGTTGTATGTCTGGTATCAGTCAGCTTGATTACCATCCCATCTACCCTTCTTGGGCTGATATTGTTAAATTTCTTCCAAATTGGTTTGCCATAATTTTCTCCTTGCAAATGTTTTAATGCTAGCCTAAAATATTGTGGGCAACATTTTAAAGGTTTTGGGCACCATTTTCTTTCTCCTTATCTATCCTGTACACCAGTGGTGGGATTCAATTTTTTTTACTACCGGTTCTATGGGCATGGCTTGGTGGGCATGGCAGGGGAAGGATACTGTAAAATCTGCATTCCCACCCCCACTCCAGGGGCAGGATACTATAAAATCCCCATTTCCTCCCCACCCCACTAACCTGCTTTCCAGCTCCGTTCCCCTGTGCAGGGCAACAAAAGAAGACCCAGCTGATCAGCTGGGACTCAATGGGAAGCAGAGAATAGATGGGGGGTGGGGCCAGTCAGAGGTGGTATTTGCCGGTTCTCTGAACTACTCAGAATTTCCGCTACTGTTTCTCCAGAACTAGTCAGAACCTGCTGAATACCACCTCTGCTGTACACAGAGATATTTTCTATAGTGCTTTAAGGCAGAGTATATCATACTGCAGGATCACATTTGTCTTAAGTTTCTTAAAGCTCCTTCTGACAAACCTTCATCTACCTCAACCCATCTCTTTGATTGGCAAAATCAATGAACTGGGATTAGCATAGGATTCTATTTTTAAGACCCATTAAAATATTAAGTGTTTGTTTTGGCCCTTGTTAGCTGCTAGTCCTCTTTTGTCTTGAAGCCACTATATTAATGCAAGATAAGGATTCTGTGTCTCTCCTCCAGTTCTCAGCAACTTAATCAAGCCACTAAGCTGACATTAGAATCTGATAACACAGGAAATGTAAATTGCCTTAGCAAAGAACAAAGCTGGGCTGGTCCACTCCTTTAATTCACAAACCAAGGCAACAAGCAACAGGTATTTTTATTAAGACTTTCAAACCTTTATCATATTTCTTTTAAGCAAGAGAGACAAAAGTGTCTTGAGGCCAGAAGGAAAAATGGCCATCTGAATTTAACGACAATACATTAAGAGGAGATAAAATTGAAAAATAGTTACACAAGTATATGAGCAAAAAAAAAAAGTTTATATGAGAAGGGTACTGTCAAGCATGCAACAGTATAAATGCCTTGTCCTGAGGAGAGGTGGAGTGAGGGCTGAAACAGAAAATTAACTCTAAATATCATAAAGCCTTTCTCTGGACACTTCCTTTTTGGTTCCTTCTTCAGGCCTGCTGGTGATGACCAATCCCTGATCCACTGAATCTTAGAAACTATCCAGTGGAATGAACCTAAGTGATTAGGTTATCAAGAATATAGGTTAAAGGTTTCCATTTTCTTAGTCCATCAAAACAACTTTAAACATCACTAAAAATCCAGAACCATATGTGCCAAAATATCTTGATGCCTGAGGCAGGAACTCCACGTACCACCTTTCTATTCATTTATAGAGGATATTGGGAATGAACTGAAGAGAAGGATCCCTTTTGTATTACCATTCATTTCACAGGTGCCTGCTAAGGGGAACTCTCCAAAACTTTAGATACAATGGGTCTCAATGGCACTGTCACAGACACCTCTATCTAAGCTGGCCAGTTTATATACCTTTGGCTACACACTTTATTCAGCCCCCTTCTATCTTTTTACTGGAAACTTAACTTTCAAAAGGGTATTCGTCATCTCTGAACAAGCTCACCATCTTATTAAGACTCGGTGTAACACTAGAAAGATACTAGACCAAATATGCGAGCACCAGGATTCTGGCACCACCGGTTCCTAGCTCATACAACCTTCCTTTAAAGCAGGGGTGTCCAACCTTGGCAACTTTAAGACTTGTG